CAAAAACCCTTGATGAGATCATTTTCAAGAGTCATTTCTCTAAAGGCAGAGTTATTTCTCTAAAAGCAGTTGGGAAAGATTCCATATTTGTGAACTATGTTACAGTTACAATAACGGAAGTTTCAGCAAGTTTCTCATCCTTCAATAACGTAATCCTAAGTTTGTCATTATCAGTGTCCTTAAAAATAAATGACTAACTGGACGAATGCCAACTTGCAAGAGAATTCCAAGAAATGTGATACTAAACTCTCACTTATGATGTAAATTGTTCTAGCAATAAAGATGCAAAATTAACAACCGGCGCTGCCTTTACAGAGGGATTTCCATTTAGTCCTTTTCTGTGAGCACAGTCCTTTCTATATCTCTTACATCACCTTACAAGACTCACTTTTTTTTTTTTTTTTTTTTTGAGTAGGAGTCTCACTCTGTCGCCCAGACTGGAGTGCAATAGCACGCTCCCGGCCACCGCAGCCTCAACCTGCTGGGCTCCAGCAATCTTTCCTCCTCAGCCTTCCAAGTAGCTGGAACTACAGGTTTTCTCCTTCAGATATTCAGTGGTTTCATGATTCACATATTCATTCATTCAATTATTTAGCAACCTTAGATTTGGCACTGTGATAAAAACTTAAAATAGGAGGATGAATAACCTAGTTCCTGTTCTCTAGGACTCACAGTTTAGTGAGATAGGTGATACTAATGTTAAAAATGAGATATACAAGAAATGACAAAGTGCTCAGAGCACTACACATAGAGACAGCAATATATATATATATCAGAGAGATCAAGTGAATCACAAAGAAAGTGACAATCAAGCTGTGCCTAGAAGAACAAATCAGATTTCTTCAAAGGGAGAAAGTAAGAGGTAAAGGATGATTCTAGGTAGCATGAGCAAAGGCATGGAGATGGGAAGGTATAAGATGTTTGGGATGTTATGACATTATATCATGTCAAGTCTACCAGTGACAATATATACAAGTACCTCTTTTGTATTTTATAATGAAACCATCTGTTCATTGAGATGCTAACTTCAATTTGGATTGATTTTTCCTTTAGTTCCCTTACAGTCAGATTTTTTCAAACTGTGTGTCATAAAACAAACACAGCTCTCCAACAGCATTTCTTTTAAACTAAGTAGCATAAAAACCAGGATAATGTCAAACAAACAAAAAAAATCAGAGTGCAATAACTTAGTAAAGTAAGTAATGTTTTGTGAAGCATGCTTAGATTAGGTGTGTCTAGGTGAGTTTCTGTGTTTTTTCCACTATGTACTTCTTACTGTGGGTCATAATCAAACAAAGTTTGAAAGCCACTGCAGTAGTAATATTTTCGATTACTTTTCATTGCATTCATGTTATATTGATTACGATTAAATCTTGAGTCCAAACGAACCTTGGTTTTTAATGAAGTGACAAGTGACACAGACTGACCTCATTTATAAGCCTGGCACACAGGCAAGTCTCTGTTTTAGTGAACTCTAGTTGTATTTTACCAGATGAAATATTTCTAGTTTGAGAATGAAGCTATCATTTGTAATGCTATTTTAACATTATTTTTTCTGTTCTGAGTTCCAAACTAGTAGAGATAATATATAAAAATATAAACAATTAGTAGTAAGCTTCCTAATACACTAGCTTCTTATATAATAATCATTCATTCAATAATTATTTATTGAGTGCCTACTATATATCCAATGTTATTCTTTATGCCAGAGATTCAGTGGTAGTCCAGACACATAAGTTTATTGAAATAAAGTGTTTTACATCAAGTATGTATATTAAAATTGAACTTCTTGCAATTAGAATGACATAGTTTTTTTTTAAAAAAAGATTTAGAAACAATCACACAAAAAAATTTAAATAAACCCCAACTCCAACTTAGACAAGGGACGTCACTCAACAGAATACATTGTATAGGATATTTAAAACTAGATGAGACAAACGTATTTCATAAAATGATTTTAATCTATTCCTTGTGGAAAAATTATAAAACATAGGCTTATACATAACACACATTTTGCAAAAAAAATGAGTCTTACACAGCAGGGAATGAATATCTACGCTACTGTTGTGTTATAAAGTTTAAAGTTCTCCACTGAGAGTAAAGTAATAGATTTTTTAAACTTGCATATCCAATAGGGAGTAAACCTTCAACTTTTTCATGTGAAATTTCTTTCATTTAATTTATTCTTTGCAGTTTTATATATGAATGCTGGTAAAAAAAAAAAAAAGTAATAGCATTTATTGTTTAAAATTTCAAAGACCAGTTCTTTTTTTATTTCTAATAATATTTGTAATTATCATACTAGGATTTATAAAATCCATTCTCTTTACCTTATGACATTAAAAAATAATATTTCAATATATATCATTTGAGGGCCTATACCATGGACTAAGATACATATTTTATCTCACTGACAAAGTATTTCCATTATATGTAAATAAATGCTTTACATATAATGTTGCTTCCTGTATATTTTTTGTAGGTATTCGTGCTGCATTTTGTATCATTATTCTCAGACCATCGCCTGCCATCATTAGCTGCCTCACTTGAAGCTGTTTAGAAATACTAGAATTTTTTGGTCATCTTTGGAATTGTATTTTACTTACCTTATTTTCATGATATTTAATGTTTTTCAGTGTCCTCTAACCTCAATCATCTATTGAAGGTTTGCTTCGCTTTTCAGAATAACTAAGTACTCTATATATTGCTTCCATTTAGGAAAGAAAAAGAGATAGGTGAGGGAAAAATAAAGTATTTTATCATTCATTTTTAAAGCTTAAAAATTTTAAGAGAAATTGAACAATTCAGATTTAAGAAAATGTTGAAGGTTTAGAATGCCAGAGAAACAGTTACCCAGAAACCTTCAATATCCTCAATTGTGATAACTTGAAAAGAAAAACTAACCTGTTTTATTTAAACTTGGCTTAAGTTTTCTTCTTTTATGGTGTCGAGTTTCAAGGCTGTAGTTAGATATTTTTCATCTTATTAAGAAAGGCATTTGCTTCCTTTATCTTCACACCAGACAAGCTGTGGTTGGGTCAGCTGGACTATGGTTTCCCAATGTGAACAGTTTGCATTGTGACCACACCATGCTAAGACAATCCCTGGGCAAAAGATGAACTTTGACAAAGGTCTGAGTGAGTGATTGGACTACATAAATAAAAATATGGACTTTGAAAAATACAAAAATCAAAAGGGAATTGTTACACATGCCAAGAAAATTAAAATAAGATACTATTTTGATACCTCTTTAGAAATATCTTCTGTAATTTTTCTTTTGTCATCAGGAGATTATTCAGCACAACTTTTAGATGTGAAAGAAGAAAATGCATATTCTTTACTTCTCCTGGTTTTTGGCTCTTTCTAAAAGGATAGAGGATCTGAATGCAGAATTAAAGGCTAAATATATCTGGAAGAAAAAGGCATGGAGAGGGACTGATTTTGAATGATTATGCTTTTCCAATGCCTCTGTAAGCTTCCTTATTTTCCCAAACTGGATTTAGTATTGTCTCTAAATCAACAAAAAATATTGCCTTATACATTCCTTTTCATAAGATAGATATTGGACAATGTGACAAAAATACTTATATCTGGGGAGGAATAAGATATGTGATTTTGAAAACCCAATGTGTTAAACCCTTCGAACTCATTATATACCCCGAGAATGCTTAAATTAACATTTATTGCCTGATAATGTTTTGATCATGAAAAATATTAAGCACGTCTGATTCAAAAGGTCAGACACTCAATATATTTTTGTTGGGGCTCTAGGAAGATTCCGATCTGGCTACATTTTAAGATATTTTATTATTCAGATTCATGTACTCAAATTCATCAGTATCAGTTCTCTATGTTTTATTGTTATTTATGTGTATCCAAGCAGATATACAGGCCTTTAAAAAATGTTGTCTCTCCTTAAAATGAAGAATGGCTCTTTTTTCTTCCTTTTGGGAAGCTAAGGAGGGACATGGGAAGACAACTCCAACACTAAATTGAACTAAAAGAAAAAGCTTTGTGTTCAATGTCGCTCAACTTTTCCATCTCTTTTCTTCATTATTTGTACTGCCACCACAAGCAACTAACAGATGCAGTTATCCGGATGTTTTAGAGCAAATAACCACTTCCAGATGAAAGCAGTAATAAATGCAAATTGCATTTTCAAAACGATGTCTGAAATGATCCACATCACTTTGCTATCGTAGATCTACAGGTAGTTTCTACGGGGGAGTGAGTAACTCATCATTTTAAAAATTTTACTCAAGAGAGGATCAGAATACCTGTGCCACTGCCATCACAGACATTGAATGGGGGTAGACATGAAGCTGATGAACCTGAGAACAAAACAAAGCAAACAGTGTAAATACTTCTACTCTATCCTCCTGGGAAGTGGTAACCCAAAGCGATTAGGACACTCAGCAAGAAGCCACTGTACATGAAGAGGTGAAGCAGACACTTGAACATCTGGTCACTCTGTGGAAGACTTTTCATCTCAGAATACATATACTAATAAACAACAGTTGGAGAAAATTGTGTCTGACATTCAACATAATGCTGAACTAAGGCCGAGAGAAGGGAGGGTGGAATTGTATTTCCTTTTGTAAAGCAAAAACAGCCGTGAGTGCAGCCTCGTCTAAAATCTGATATTTAAACAGAATGGCAAGACCTCAAAATGTTCAATTTGGAACGAAGAGTGACCGAAGTTACTGGAAAGCTCATGCCTCCGTCTGCAAAATCACTGGCCAGGAAAGCAAAACTTTTCCAACACCCAGTTTTAATATTGTGCTAAAGCCATCGACTCTGTTAAAACCCCGGAGTTAAATATGATCCCCTCTCCTTCCCCCCGCCCGTTCTCCCTTAGGTTAGTGTTTGGGGGACAAGGAGGGGGCTGGGGCTTGGCCCCAACCTCGGAATTGCTGCCAAGGGCTTGTAACACAATCTCTCCCCGTTTGAAGGGTAAATCAGTGTCAATTGCGTTTGCTGTCCACCAGAAAAAAGTAAGCATTTTACTTCCGCTCGGTCTATGAGGCCTGATGAAATGTATGAAATCTGTTTCTGGCAGGGAGGAAAAAAAAAAATCGTTTTCCCAAACAGCACCAAGAGGAGCCATCGGAGAAGTATGAAGAGGCGCAGTGCGGCTGGAGCTGCTGCCGCTGCCGCCTGGCTGCTGGGGTGCGGGGAGCCGCCGCTGCAGGACCTGCGCCCGGGGGGGCCCGGCCCCGAGAAGCCGCAGGAGTCCAGCCCCGAACCCCGGCGCCGCTGAGAGCCGCCGGCCGCCAGCTCCGGACGCGGGGGTGAGCCCGGCCGGCTGGCCCAGCCCTGCGCCGCCGCCGCGCGCGCGCGTGCGCCGGGCGGCGGGGCTGGCGCGGGCCTCGCGCTGTCCGCGGCTCCCGGGGCGGCGAGGGGAGGGGGACGGGCCACTAAAAATAACCTCAGGAGCCAGGCTGGGAAGGGTGAAGAGCCGCGGACGCGTGGACCGGCTCTGTCGCTAAGAGTGGGTATTCACTGCAGGGGAGGGGGGACTTTCTCATCCCCTGGAGACAGCCGTGTGCGCCTTATCCCCCGGGTGGAAGGGCCCCAGTGACCGCAGCGCGGAAGCCCTCTGGGCGGCTCAGCCAACCCCGGACAGAGCGAGGGTTCCCGATGAGCACTTCGATGATAAATGGGCACCTGGGCCTTCGTGCGCGAGGGTGTCTGTGATGCATGCTCAGCCTTGTCTGTGATGGGAGGGCTGGGGGGAGGCGGGATGGGGAAGTTGTGATGGGAAGATCCTGGGATGTTTTACTTGAGGCGGTGAGGCCAGGATGGGAGGAAAGGGCGCCACACGTGTGATTTGGGGTGGATACTGTTTTTGACTGATGGGTTTGACAGAGTCGAACTTTACGTGAATAAACAAACGCTAGCCTATATTTCAACAGGCTTTGGGAGGATTTTGCGTGGTGTCTTTCTTTTCGTCCAGTCTGAAGATGAGACTGGCGTCTGCAGTTGTGTGGGGGGAACAGAAAAGCCAATTTGGCGTTGGAGACATTACTTTTCCTGGCAAAATTAAGTCTATCAGCTCCGCGTGGTAAATTGCCACTAACTTCGCACAGGCGTCCAAAGTTGTGTTGTCCTGAATGGAGAGGGTGCAGAAACGATGGTTAATTAACAGATTTTGTTTTCTGCATTCCAATAGATTGGAGGTGGGGGGGTGAGTCGATTCTCCCCCTCAGTTAATCCCTCTGCAGTCAGTTTGTACCCTCTCTACTTTCCTCAGCTTCCTAGTCTTACCGTCAAGAGTTTGCAAAACTTTTCTGCTGCAAACTTATCCGCCTCCCCCCCAACAAAGCTGGATCAATTGAGTATGGGAGATCTTATGCTGAGGAAATAAGATCTGCATGCGCACAGGAACACCCGTTTGGCGTGCGAGAGTACAAAATAAAGGTGCAGACAGGTTGGATGTACCAACCAGGCAGAGGAAGTCCACCTTTCCTCCCCACCCATCCCCTGAGATTCACGGAGGCTAGACAGAGAACAAGCCCTTGTGCTCAGTTTCTTCTTTCCCCCAACCACTTAGCAGTGTGGACACTGATTAACTGCAGCTGGGATCTGATTTGCCCAGCCTGTCTTTGAAATTGATCAATGAATTCCTCGAGGAATGCTTCCCCCTAATTGCGGAGAAAGTGGTGGCTGTGGTGGTCTTCTCCAACATGGGCATCTGGGATTTGACTGTCTAAGAGAAGGTAAGGGACAGATGGATGAGTCATGGGACTGTGCCTATGCAATGCACACTGGAGCGTTCGCTCCGGGCTGCCTGAGTGGTCTCTTAGGTGGAAAGGTAGCTTTCAGCTGTTTTGTTTCTTTTTTCTTCACATTATTGCTAACCACCATATTTTGGTTATGTGGATTTTGTTTTCCTGGGAAATAAATTCACATGGCAAAAATTATCTCACCTGGTCATCTGATTGCCTCTGAGTTTTCTAGTATTTTGCTAAGAAACCTTAATTAAACCTTAAACTCACAGATGTGGTGAAATGTCTGGTCCTATGTTAATCCTAAGTATGTTGTGTGTTATTTTAAAGTTTTGCTTCGAGGCTGGAAGTCTGCATTGTAGACTCTGGAAGCCTTTGGAAGGCCAACATTATCTTGACTGAAAATGAATGATGAGGCCATAACAAAATGTTTACGGGGAGATTTTTCTTTAAAATTGCAAGGGATGTTGTACTGTTGTTTTGGTATCTTTGTGGTATCTTGGCTATTGAGGCCTAACCCAAATATCCAACTGTTTCTTTTAATTTCTCATGAGCAACTATTAAGGTTTTCACTCAAAGTTTTTTTGACTAGAGCAAAGAGCTGTTGTATAAAGAAGAGTGCAAAAGAAAATATCTTTTGTTAAAATGAGTAAGATGTTTGTGTTTATTCTGCATTAAGTGTTCTCAGAGTCAGTTCTATTGGAATTTTGCTAGTCTTGTTATCTTGTATGAGGCCATGATACACACACACACACACACACACACACACACACACACACACACACACACACACGCAGTACAACCCTGCTAGCCTTATCTGTATTCTAGTTAAGCAAAACATAAATCTTTATATCTTCCCATGAATTAAGTTTTAACCAATCAACTCAGATGAGATTTTGATGTAAGGCCTTCAATATTTTAATCGTTAATGGCTATGAGATGGTTTTGCATTCAAATTATGTTCCAAGCTAATCTGGTAGGGGTTTAAAAACCTATGCTAAATTGTTTGGAAATCTGGTTTTGTAGAATTAAACAAAAAACTTGAAAAAGAATCCCTTATGCCATGAAAATATGGAAAATAAATTCCCACTCAGCTTTAGTGTTTCAGTCAGAATTTGAGAAGAAATTGTTCCTGTAAGTATACCGTCATTTCATTCAAGACAAATCATGATGGGGCTGGGGGATAAGAAAGAGATGCCTGGAAGGAAGTTAGCACACAAAATTGGGCTCCAGGAGAGTTGAGTAGGATATGTTTAATGACTATGACTAAATAGTTTTGCTACTTTGGGTAAATTAACTTCTTAGGCTACCAGTCTTTTATTAGTAATGAGGAATCTGACTAGACAAGTCCAAGGTTTCTTTGAGTTTAAATATTTATTATGTAAATAGATAAACTAGCATTGAGTACCATTTTGCTTTATTTTTGTGCTTTTTTGTTTGTGGACAAGTTATTCCACTGAGCCAGACATAGAAGTTCCATTACAAGATCTGAAATTGACTTTCTGATTGCTTTACGGATTTTATTTTCTGATTAGACCCTCAGGTTAAGATTTTGCATTTATGACACTGGTTGGCTGAACACATATATTTTGTAGAGATATTTTTTGTTAGCCAAAATGAATCACAAAGAAGTAAAGAACTCATAATAGTGAAAGAGCCATCTAGAACCATGCTTGATGATTTGTTCCTTGAGTCAAGCCTGGAAAATGGTATTTTCCTCCTTCCAGATTTTAGATGGCTACTACTTTGTTTGGGGTGTGCTTTTAATTTTAAAAGATAGTGTAATGACACTTTGTTTCTGCATTGTTTGCTGCCTGTAATGCACACAACTGAATAGGTAGAGGTGGGGTCAGTGCTGCAGATGAGAGCAAAAGTTACCTTTGGGGATGTGACCTTTAACTGTAGACTGATTAGGACTCATTATTTTAAATGGTCACACAGTCTGTTTGTGTGACATTGGGGTAGTGGTAGTGATAACCTCTCACATTTGTTTTGACAGGTATAGTGTTTCCCTGTATTACTAGCTTATAATCTTTAACTGGTTCATCATCATCTTAGGGGCAGCATCCCTCTCCATATAAAGAAAGCTTTGAATTTTTTCATAATTTATGATATTGTATCACTGATACTTTTATTTGCTTGCACCTCTTCCTCCTTTTTCTTAATGATTTGGAGTTCTATAGAATATTCCTGTTTTGTCAAATAATTGTTTTTCTTTATATAATAAGTCAGTGGAAGTTTTCTGATAATGATGATTTAGACTTCATAAATATAAAATAAATGCCAAGCACTGGAATATGTATTTTGTTTTTTGAAGAAAAGATTTATTTAAAAAGAGATCACTTCCCATGTGTGTCTGTCTGGGATGCCACATGGAAGATGCAAAGAATTGCACAGAAGTTAGATTTTAAAATGTAGTTTATTTAAAAGTAAATTAGAGAGAGAAAGAGAAAGGAGAGAGAAGATTCACCTCCCCAGGGTTGGGGAGGAGTCCAAAGCTAGGAAGCATGGCGACAGCCATAGCTCAAAGAGCACGTGGCCACACGAGTCTAGCAAGGCAACGGCCTGGAATAAGTATTTAATTCTCACAGTTATCTTTAAGGGGTAGCCTCCATTTTACATGATAGAAGACACAGATACAAAGAGAAAAAGTCATATGACTAGACTAGAACAGCTACTAAACGAACTTCTGAACTTCTGATTCCTATATTCTATCCATTGATCAGGCCTCTCAGTGGATGGTATAGCAGACATAGTGATATAATGTTTATCAGTTTATTCTTGTTTTCCTGTCTTTGCAGTTTATTGTTTATGGAATATTGCAATGCATTTTCTCTAATATGTCAGCAAACTCTAGAGTTAAGCCAGAAGTCATATTGGTCATGGTCAAAGCACACCTCTAGGTGGCATGGACGAATACTTTTTCTTGAGTCAAAACTATGTCTTCAGCTGGGTTGGAATAAACTAGACAGAGTCTTTAAACATGTGATATTTTACTTATGGAGTCATTAATTTTTTCTTCTTCCCCTGGGCTAGTTCAAGTCTCATCATATCCATAATTGTTATTCCAGAATCACTTCTACTGTGGAAAGAAATAAAAAAATGTATACACATACAGTCTTTGAAGGATTTTGTATCAAGTTTCTGTGTGTTTTTCCCTTTAAGTTTTATTTTTTCTAAATTTCTAGTTTTGAGGGTTGAGCTGTCCACTTTTAGATTGATCCAGAAAGCTTAGAGGGGCCATAGAAACATTTGAGTCCCTACTCCACTTTCCAAAGTGATTGACTTTGTTTAATACTTACCAAAGTTACTTACCAAGCTTTCTAAATATTTGTAAATTTTGTATATTTTATTGGAAACATCTTTCAGTGTTTAGATATATTATACTAAAAATTTTCATTTCTTCTTAACCTAGCTTTTTTCTTCAAGTCTGGTAGGTCATTAATCATTTTATTTCCCAGCTTTAAAAGCTACCCCTTGGCATCTCTTGTGGTTTGGAAAACATTTTAATGAATTCAAAAGAGCTGACATTATCTTTTGTTATAGTTTGTCTATTATCATGTAATTCAGCTCATCCAGGTTGATTAAACATTTGTTAAAATTATAAAAAGGGTACAATTCTGTAGTGATCTTTGTATCTGGGTAATGTATGTTTATTTGACTTTTCTTCACTACAACTTAATTATTTCAATTGGAAACTGCTTCACATGAGGGCAAATTCTCCATACTCTAAATTTTGATCCTGCTAGTTGGATCCAGTTTTATGTTTCATGTTCATGTCTCAGTCAAATCTAAATCCAAGATCTCCAGGTAGTGACTTTCAGCTAAACCACCATCATGCTCAGTTTGTGATATGAAATATATATATTTAAAAAAAGGATCAAGAGAATTTGGATTGACAATCCTAATTGTTTCCAGAAGGGACTTAAACAGAAGAATTCTTATCTAACACAGTGACGTTTGGTTTCCACATATTTTTCATGTTTCATTATTAAACTTCCATTGCTTGATGACTATCTACTAAGCCTTCTTTCTCTCAGCTTTGCCTCCTGAGAAAACGGTACGCTATACTTGCTTTTTCTCACCACTAAAATTTTGGCTATATACAAAGCAGCAAAATAAAAATTGCTTAGTTATTCTTAGTTTTTTAAACTTAATGATCATCTGTAAATATCAGAAGATAGTTTGAATTACAATTCGGGCAAAATACAGAACAGAGTACATGAGAAATAAATGCGCCACTGTCAAAGAAAATAAAAACTTCACTGTTTAGAAGTATTGAGGGGAAGGATTGTGTCCCTCTGGCTCATTGAAATTGTTACATGCCATTAGGCTTACTGTAAACTATCCCCTGATGAATTCTTTGCTGGACAATGAGCTTAAGAATCTGAGGTGTCTTCTTGCTTTTATAGAGCAAAATAGAACTCTGATGCTTCAATGAAGGTTACAGAACACATAATAGGGTGTAGGTAAAGTTACTGAACTACCACATCTCACTTTCAGGAAAGTAGTGGGAGAGATTGTGTCTTGAGAAGAAAGGCATTTTAGAGGTAACCCCTTTAAGATTTCAATTAGTTATTTAAATGTATGAGTCATGTGCTTAAATGTATTAATAATTAATTGTTTCTGAGGCTAGCCAGCCTATAGGAATCCTATCTAGTTGCATGGAGATGTTTTGTTTTCCTGGCACTGGACATATTTTGTTTTAAAAATTGGGACATAAACTATTTTAGGTTTCTGGTGTTTCATTATAGGGTTTGGACTTCGTATGAATAGTGTCATCTTATGAATAAGTGTCATTATTAACTGTGAAATAAAAAACAATTACAATGTTCAGATTCCTATACTGAACAATTTAGTAACATATGACAAAAGTATATTAAAGCAGTTCACATTTACCCTGATTGACTCTAGAAAGCTAGATATGTAGAAAATATTTTCAAAGAGAATTAATGTTAATTTTTTTCAAAAAATTACTTGAGAGAGTAATTGTATTAGAAATGAAATGGTCTGTCCTTTTAGATTGCATATTTATGTCACTTTTTAGGTTTTTACTTACACTCTCAACAGTCCTTTCTGATATTGTAGCAATGTTTCAGAGATGGTCATATTTTACATTTTCTAAACACCCATGTCTTATTATTTATTTAAAAAGCATTCTTTAAAATAAATTAGTTTATGCTAAGTGAATTAGAGTATGAGGCTAACTGGAAAGAAATACTATGCAGAATTTCAGGGAATAAAACACAAAAGAGACTATATAACATGTTGGTAACTTTAAAATACCATAAATATTAAAATATAGCTGCACACCCCATGATGGCACGCAACCTTGACTTTTTGTTTACTGCAAGTGTTTGCATTCTTACTGCCCTACAATCACAATGCATGTGGTTATTTCATAAGCATATTTGTATAAAGAGTGGAATCCTACATGTTGTTCAACGTTATGATTTTGTTGTCTTAGCTGCTTAAATACTTCATCTACAGCCTTAGGTCCTATAAATAATGCATACAAAAGTGCTATATTCAAGGTCAACTATATATTAAAATACATTTTCTCCAACCGAGACAGAGGCTTGCCCTACTTATAAGGTGATCAGATGAATGGAAATCTTCTCGACTTACAGATATAAGATACTTAAGTACCTCTACTTTAAAGATGATTACAAACAAAACTCAGTATGTAAGACAGATTAAGTGGAAAGATACAAAACAAGAAAGATGGGGCAGCAGACTTCAAATGAATACCTCTGGCAGTATTTGTTAGAAATATGGTGCAGCTTTTGGGTTTTCAATATGATTCTCAGTTATTCTATTCTGTAAAAATGTGTCATCATGGAAAGAGTCATGGTCTTGAAGTAGGAAGGCTCAGGTTCAAACCTACTTCTGCCATGACGTGGCTGTATGATCCTGCTGAAGTCACTTTTCCTCTCTGGGTTTTGTTTTCTTTGATGATTAGAGATAAGTATAGTAGCGACTGAATGCACCTCCTCCTCTGCCCTTCACCCAGTTCTCTAAATTGTGGGTCCCTGATTGTGTGGCCACCTCTAAAGAACCAAGTGCTTTGCTCAGTCTTTTAGGTAATAGTCTTAAGAGGAATGACTGTGTATTTACAAAAAATTGTGCAAACACTGCCATTGCTAGTGCTCATTCCTAAAATTCAGTGAAAATCTATTGTTTCATATATTAACCCCCAAAATGAGAGCAAGTTGGACACCAACATTTTAGTTCAACCACTTTTTAACGTGTTTGAATAAGTGGAATGTCTTGCTTTAAAAACTGGCTCTTTCTACACAAGCCTAGAGTTTATTATTTGATTTTTCTCTTTGACCTTTGTTTGCTGCTGTTTCCTACCAAGTTTCTGGTCAAAAGTGAGAGGGCAGTACAGATAAAACAAATAGTGTTTCATGGGGTTTAATAATTAATAAACTGATCTGTCACCAAAAAGTCTATGAATCTGGTCTTGGTTACAAGGTCATAACAGCAAGATTTTAACAAAAACAAGTCTGTATAAAAAGCAATTGCTCTTTTGTTTCCAAACAGGTATTACAAGTGGATAAATAATGTGCACTGCTGTGAACCCAAAGGTACGCAGTGGACCTGGCCTCTCTGATATGCATCAGTATAGCCAGTGGCTGGCCAGCAGACATGAAGCTAATTTGCTACCAATGAAAGAAGATCTGGCCTTGTGGTTAACCAATCTATTAGGTAAGGTTATAAGATCTTATTTTGTGAGCAAAGATAACAGTTTTGTTTTATTTTTCCTCCTGTAGTGTCCTTCACCTAAGCATGTGATAGCACTTTGGAAAGAAAGACTTTCTTTATTTGGATTTTGCATCTGGGAAACCTAGGGCATGTGGAAAATTTAAATGAATTTCCCAATGTCTCTTACATTAGCTGTGCTTAGTAATTCCAATATCATGCACTGAAATGTGGAAATATATGCTCAATTGCTTATTTCATCTATATCCTAGTCTGATTTATTTTTGGCTTTTCTTTCATGCAACTGACCAGTTTCACCTAGTCTTTTGACATTGTGCACGTCTACAGTCTCTGTAAAATCTGGCTTCTAAATCTGGATTTCTTTGCCCTACTTTCATAGCACACCTTCTAAAACTGCTGAGTACTCAGACTTGGGAAAAAAACCATCTATCCTTTGTTCAAATGAGCTGACTAGAGTCATCCAACCCTGAACTAATTTTTTTTTCTTTTCAAATTGCTTTTGTTTTAAGCTCCAGTCTATCAGTATTGTTCTTGAGAAAAATGCTGTCTCATGCTAAAGCTACCTCTTTTTCTATTACTATTATGCTGCCACATTCACCAAATAAAATTTTAACCATGTGCAAAATGGTATCACACGTTTAAAGGGTCACCATATATAGCAATACTGCTTCCACTAATAGTTTTTTTTCAAAAAAACAGAAAAAATTGGTTTAGGACCTGAGGAAAGGACCTCTGTAGAGTTTATAAGATGTAAGATTTGAATATTGAGTAAACATAAAACTTAAATGCTGTTTTATCTATGGCAGAAGGGACTTCACCAACACTAGTTTATTATTTAAATAATCTGTCAAGATGAGAGTCATTATTTTCACCTTTTAACTAATGAAACAGAAGAGCTTAGTGGGCTAGATCCTGTCCATTCAAAATTTTAGCAAGGTTAGGCAAGTCTTAAGCACATTTTGGCAAGATTTTCCTTATGCACCATCGCTCTGACTTCTTACATAGATTTTGCATTTACTTTTATATTTTTTAGTCTTTGTCCTAGGGTTTCTTTATCCCATGTTTCTTTTTTCTTCACTATGTGCACACAATTTTGGCAACTCCTTGTGGCCTAATCAAGGCTACAGAATATGCGTATGCAAGTTGTACCCTTCTCAAGGGTGCTTGGCCAGGGGCAATGAGGCTAGAATAAAGAAGACACTTTCCAGCAAGACCCTCCATCGTACTAGGAAGCTGTACCATCAGAAGGAAGGGGCTACCACCTTTTAGTAGATCATTCATACACAGAAGCAGCTTTTATCTCCATCAAGTAGAGGGAGTTATTTTAGCTTAAACAGATGAATTTCCTCTTTTTATTTTGTCTTTCTGGGCTTCACTAATGACTGTTATATTAGTAGTTTGTTATTAAGTTTGAGCTATTTTCAGATATGGGCAATCACAAGTATGGCAGTCTAGGAGAGAATAGCACATGCTCTGGACATGGACTGCCTGTGTTTGCACCCTAGATCTGCCATTTACCAGGAGGGTAATCTTGGGCAAGTTATGTAACCTCTCTGTGCTTCATTTCCCCCTTCTTTACAGTGGTAATAATAGTGGTAACTAGTTTGTAAAGTTGCCATGGGAGTAACTGATTAAAACATGTATAGTACTTAGAACAGTGCCTGGCATGTAGTAAACACTATATATGTTATTGCTATTATCCCACTTATATAGCTCAGTGAAATTTAATTTGATTTTGTGCATATGTTCATTCACTTATTCAAAAAATATTTGAGTGTGCAGTCACATAACATATTGGTTAAAAAAATGATCTCTGGAATCAGAATACTTCAAGTCAAATCTTGGGTTTACCATTTACTCTGTGGTACTGGACAGGTATCTTATTGCACTGTGCCTCAGTTTTCTAATTTGTAAAATAAGTATACTAATAAAACCAGCCTTATGGGATTGTTGGAAGTTTGAGTGAAATCAGCAACTTTAGAACAAGGTCTAGCACATAGTAATCAAGCAGCAAATAATCACTATTATGATCACTGTGTTCTAAACTCAGTCTATTAGGTACTGGAGGGTAGGGTGGTGATTAAGAATATTTTATTCTTACCAAGCTTGGAGTAGGTTAGCCAAAATCACATTAAATAAGTAATTGAATATATAATCCATTAATAAGACTTGTTCTAAATACTAAAATATATGTTGCAATTAGAATATGAACTGAGGAGATGGGGGTGGGGCAAAGGATCAGAGGGCGTGGGGAAGTCCTCTTTCAGGAAACTTATATTTAAACTAAGAACTGGAAAAAAGAAAGGCTAATAGTTAGCCAGACAAAGCATGGGATGAAAGCCTCTGGGTGAGACAAGGACATATGTTGAGGTACAAAGAAGTTTGGTACATTGGAAGAACTGAAAGAAGGCTAATGTCAACAGCACAGAAAGAGGGACGGTTTCTTGAGACTTGTTGGGTCTGGATCATATACTGTTTTGAAGACCATACTGGGGAGATCATAATTTGCAGTATGATCCATGACCTGTTCTAGGCAGGGGAAGAGTGTGGTTAAGTAGACTATAGCCTGATTATACAGGTATGTTTCAATGTCCCATGACTTGTCATCAAAGGCATTTTATTGAGTGAGTGTGATCATTTACAAAGCAGCTGGATCAATATGAATGGCCCAAGACAGCCTCAGAAAATAGAGAATCGGTGTGTGTAATGGAAAGATCCTTGGATTAAAAGTCAGGAGACCTGGCTCCTCACTTGGTGTCAGGAGACCTGGCTTCTGGTTCTGGCTCTGCTGCTCGGTAGGAAAGGTGCCCAAAGTCACTCAGCTATCTTTTCTGGGCTCGGTGTACTCACCCATAAAATGAAGAGGTTGGAGGAGATGATCTCTAATGTCCTTTCCAGCTCTAAAAGTCTAAGTTTCCAAGAAATCCATCTCTTGAGATCCAGTTTGGTTGGGGCAATTGAGGTCATCAATATGTGTAAACCAGGAGAAGACTTACATAAATGAATAATCTTTTTCAAAAGAAACTAGGACTTTAAAAAATGTTAGTGGCTGCAATATAAATGCAATTGTTGGCTTGTGAATTTTCTCAGAAAAGGAATCCTAAAATAACCTCAAGATACAGTAAAATATAACCTTTCAATTGACTTGAGTTCATTCAAAATTGGTAGATAATAGACTTCAAGTCAATACCCTTATGGTAACTTGAAAAGTAGATTAATACGAAAGGGATTAAAACATTTGGAGAGGAAAATAGGTTGTGTACTACAGTGATGATAATGAGAGGAGAAAAAAATGTAAAATTGTGTTAGAAGATATTTTTCTCACACATAGGTTCATTTAGTATTCACATACTCTGGAAATGGAGCCATTGAAGAAAAATTTAATATTATTTATTACTGGCTATTTTGTCAATTCAGAAATAATCTGTAATCTCAGCACTTTGGAAGGTCAAGACAGGAGTTCAAGACCAACCTGCGCAACAAAACAGTATCCTGTCTTTACAAAAAATAGAAAAATTAGCCAGGCATGGTAATGCACGCATGTCCCAGGTACGCAGGAGGAGAATCAATTGTGCCAAGGAGTTTGAGGCTGTGGTGAGCCAAGATTGTGCCACTGCACTCCAGGCTAGGCAACAGAGTGAAAACTTGTCTGAAAAAAATAATGCAGTTTCTTAAACTGAATTTATACTTGATGTTTTGACTGATAAAGATGATTTAATAGAGAATAAAATAGTTTTATTGGATATATAGGTATTATGCTGTAATTTCCAGGTAATATACTCACTTAGTAATAAAAATAATTTAGAATCCTAGGCATAGAATTAAAGCAACAATAGCAAACTTTTAGCCTAGCTAAAAATTATATATTAGAATATGAAATGCCAAATATCTTGTGGTATTGACTAATTAAGATAACTAAATGGTGGTTAAGATTTATTTAGGGGGTAGTACACTGTGATTCATGAGAAGAACAGCATATACTATTTAGTGACAACTCACATCTTGGCTATATCTACAGATCTTATAGAAAGTACTCTTTGTTAGTCCTAGTGTACAATAGCTGGCACCATGGAGCAGTTTTATGGCCAATATTATAAAAAGACAGAAAAATAGTCATGAAGATTATATCATCCTTCTTTATAAAAAGTTTATTTGGCCACTGTACTCCATTATACGTTAAATATAAACATCTCATCTTCATTTTAGGTCTTCTGTTTTGTTACTTTTGCTCATGGACAAACTATTGCTTTTTTTGTTATTTAACTGTACCCTTAGGGCATATTAGAACATCAATCCTGGGGAAAACTTAATTGTCATTTTGAGCAAACAGCATGCTATCAAATTCACAGTCCCACATTACAACAGTGACCCATCACTCAAATGGATTAGGCACTCTACTGATTTTATCATTGTTGATGGACTTTTGAAGGTTGTTCTTGGCTTGATTTTGAAAGGCACATACTGACATAAATGGTCTCACAATTTTTATTTCACTTGTATTTTTAAATAATTTGAAAATGGTCGTTTATCTTTATTTTCAATGAATATTTGTCTAGTAATGTATGAGTAATATGGTAGTATATTTTTGAGAAAGGGCTATCATTTAGCATCAAAGAAATTGACATTTGCTCTTAAAGACTATAGATCTTTAGGATGTAGGCATGTGTGTTTGGATAATGTAGGGACTTTGAGTAAATCAAAAGATAAATAAAAATTAATTTGTGCTGAATTGATTTTACCTGCATTTAGAACATACATCATGTCAGTTCATGTCATGGTGATTTTCCCTTTCCCTGACCTTTCCATAAGCACTTAAAAAAATAAGCTATTTTCCATTGTTTCCATTTTTCAATCATTTCTAAAAAGTAACATTTTGACATTAAAAAGTTAAGCACCTATTTATTAGAGTGCTGCTGTCAGATACAACTAATGTCTAATGAGTTTTGAATAGCTTCTCTTTTTTCTTAAAGCCCTTTTACCAGATA